GGGCCCTAAGGGAAGGGGCTTCCTCCGCCCCTTTCCACCTGCAGCGAACCCAGGAGGCTGCTAGTCCCACGCACTTCCCTCTTTATTTATTTATTATTTAATGAATGTATTGTTTTGTAATGCAGCAACAGTGATCCAGGAGGAAAGGGATGCTATTCCCACCCCAGCTCCCCTGCCTTTACCTCGGTGGTGCAAGGGCCCCTTCCCCGTGCAGTGCTGCAGGGACTCAGAGTGCTAGTTCCAGGCACATTGCACCCTCCTTTCCTTCCCCCTCTTTGCAATGCAGCAGGAGATCCAAGGGGATCCCTGTGCACACAATTCTTCCTTTTTTCCCCCATTAAAGCATGCTCAGGATGCGCAGGGATGCCAGCCAGCTTCCCCTCTGCTTCCTCCACCTTGCCTTGGCATATGCAGTCCGAGGCTGGGATGCTGCATCCATCCGGCTCCCGCTTTCTTCCCCTGCCCTTTGTAATAAGATGATGCTCATCTTGTCCCCCTTCACGATGCAAAAAGAGGCTCCCTCTTGCACCCCTGCTGTTCCAAAGATGAGTGAGGGATGAGTCCTTTTTCCCTTCCCTCTATATCCATGGAGAAGCTGAGCTGAACAGGATTCTGCCTTCCCATACTCCCTGCTGCAGTGGAGCTGGGAGCAGAGAGAAGAGAAAGGAGATGCTCTGCACCATCCTGCCTCCTGGCACCATGACGAGGAGTGCGGACACATGGAAAAGCAGGGAAATGTCCCTCCAAATGTCCCTCTCCCAATTAAAATGGACGATGTGTTATAAGGGAGCTCTCCCTTAATAAGCAACAAAAGCACAGCCCTGGAGTTTCTTTCCCATTAATGGGAATGCAGTGAGGAGAAGATGTTATTCCCCTTTTCCGCCTTTACGTGGGCGAGGATGGGCTGCACTAGGATGCAGTGCAGGGAGCTCTTCTTCCATGAGCAGAACCAGGTGGTGACAATCTCCCCTCATGCCCCTCATTTTACAGGAATGATCTAGTTTGTTGTGTCATCCCATTTCTCTGGGACAGGTAACATATATATAATATATGTTAATATGTTGAAACATATATATAATATATGTTTATGTGTTTAAACGTACATTATATATGTTTAAGATATAATATATTCAGCTACATATGCCCTTTCTGATGTCAGGTGACTTTTTTCATTATTTTTCCTTCTGCCCCCATAGTAACTTTGAAATTCATTTTATAAAAGAATTCCCTTGTAGGAGTCAACCCTTTTACTTTATGAATTTCAGTCTTTATGATAATCTTCTATGTGTGTCTCAGTTTAGCCTTTAGAGCAGGAATTGAATGGGCTTCTAGAAATACAAATAGCATATAAATCCATAACCACACTAATTAACTCGTTGTTTCCTACCCTTTTTGCCCATAGCTTTTTTTTTTTTTTTAAACATTGCCTTGGGGTAGATAGGTTGGTATCCCCTCCTCCTCTTTTATCCCCAGTGTCATGAAATATGTTTTTGTGCTGTTTTGTTTTCATATACACATATAAAAATAACCACAGAAATTCACATGTTGAGGTTGAACAAGGAGCATACAAAACTGGATCTGTGGTAAAAAGCTATCCTGAAACTAAAAATTGCATATTACAGCACTCATTTGTCTACATAAATTATTAGATTATCTGTGTTTGACAGTAGTTTAGAGCCAAACTGTTAGAAAGCAAAAGTTTAGCCTCTTTTGACTTTTGCACTATGGTTTTATTTATTTATTTATTTATTTTTCTGAATTTTACCCATTTTTATTTCACCATGAAGGGGCCCCTGGGTGACTGAATTTTAGAACTTTAACATCCTTTTCTGGCTCTAGTAAATATTACCTTTACTTCTTTCTATGCTACTGTATAGTAGTAAGATGTTGAGTGTAAAATAAGGTGCGGTGAGGACTGTTGCCTCCCTTCTATCACCCACCTACCTTGTAATGTTTTGCTGAGTCTGGGTGTGTGTCTGTTCTCAGTCCAAGGTGTGGGAAAGTCAGAGGACTCGTGGATTTGTTTGGAGTCGCTGTGCTGTGAATGTCATTAATACGATGCTTTCTATGAAGTGTGCTTGGAATTTTTCCTAAGAAGTGACCAGGCT